AAAGCGGACGTACCTCTTCCGGATCCATTGAACTCTTCTTCGACTCCGTTGTATCGTCGGTGAGTGATTAGAAACGCCCTCGGCATTTTCTTCCTTATTGCAATTCGTCTTCTTCTCTCTATTTGATTGTTCCAATCACACAAACCATACCTTAGATCTGTCTGATCTAACTTCACTGTCACACACGATCACTAATTGTTAAGGATTTACTTTTTAGGTTCAAATAATCATTAATTCATATCGTGAACAAATGTTGAACCCTCGACGGTGTCGCGCGGTTTTCGGTAGCCTGTCGTGTACCCTGTACCTGTTGCTAAATACAGGGGTGCGTCCGCCTCGAAGATTTCGGACGTAATAGTTGCTCCGGCTAAGATTCGGGACTACATATAGCAGCGTAGTCTCCCTCACCCTCCACCTTCTCTTCGTCATCGTCTTCTTCTTCTTCTTCTTCAGCTGCTGCGCACCGAGTTGCACGCGCTCAGAAGGGTGCCCGACTGGCTCGTGTGTCGCCGCTGCTTCTGTTTGAGTGGTGGCGAAGTGTGCGACCACCGCACATCCGTGTCGCTTTTTCGATTTGAGCGTGGACGGGGGCAATGTTGTGCACGAGTATACGTGCAAAAGATTAATTATTAAAAGCTCGTTACATTGAAATTAATGATGATTCTTGCCCATTATTGTTTTTTTTTTTTTTTAGTTTTATTTATACTCGCTTGAGTACTCATTTAAATACTGGTCTAAGACTTTAGGAATGCGTTAAATTTATTAAAAAGCTATAATGTTTACCTTAGCCAAATTTTTTTGATGTATTTATCGAAAAGAATAGTTGTGATGTGAACACTATTTTGAACATTTTTATTCGACATTTAATATTGGATAACTGGATCATTAAGAGAAAAGATTATTTTTTAATCTAAGATTTCTTTCACTCAAGCTTTAAAAAACAATTTTCGTTGTTTCGGATTGTTGACAATTGATAATATAATTTTGAATTTTTGAGATAGATGTGGACGTTTCCAAGCTAAAAAATTATACCGAGTTTCTTTCAACGAAATGTTGTTACATGTTCGTAAGAAAATGTATGAAGATTTATTTTTTCTTTCGACGTGGGTCGAAACACGTGGGAGAAGATAGGTTGGAGGCCTATGTATCCGTTTATCTGTAAAAAATGTCGACCTATAGCTCACTATAGGTCACTGAACACTCTGTTCCAATGTAATATTGATGAACCAGTAAAAATCGCAGGAACATGTTCGTATCACTGTATTCAACTTGATAAGTTATGAAACCTCTGCATATATATCAACAGGTGTAAACATATAATATAAAATGTATGTATTAGAGAGAATTTAGAATGCATTAAACGCGATATGAATTAATATGCTAAGAGACACTGTCACGAGAAAGATTTAAATCCAATTTCAATTAACAACACGAATTGAACGTTTCAATGTATTGCATCATTTTCAAGGTTGTCGAATGAAATCGTGCGGATGTTGAAGATTTTTGAGATCTGGAAGCACCGATTCAAAGTATCGGCAAAAACGAATGTAATGAACGACAGAAAACAGATTATTTAAATGATATTTACCAGTTGGCAAATGAAAGGATAAGCATTCTATTTTTGTGCGAAGCCAGATTTTGTGGGATCCACGGCACGCGTCCAATGTTCATTAACTGCCACTGAACCGAGAAAGGAAGAAAAGAAAGGGAAAGGAACGCGTGTCGTTTAGTATGCGGCATCTTTTGACCATCATCATGACAAACGGAAAAAGTGCAAAGATGGTAGACATACGATTCATCGAGACACATGGTCTTTTCACTTACCAGATGAGTGAAATTTCCTCGAACTTGATGCTACAAGTATTTTGAGAAAACGATGGAAACCACGGTAATGGTATTAAAAATATTATAAACTTTCGCCGCAAATGATGAGAGAACAGCTGCAATTCTTAAACATTTCTTACCTTGAAAGTTTATCCCACGCTTGTCCCATGGAATTTTTTGAAAATAAACATTATATTTCCATGGGTAGCGGCTATCATACATTTACGATTCTTTGCGATGTTTTATTAATATCAATTCTTTGCTTGTTATTAATGAAATAATAAAAATAGCACGTTTATTTTAGACACACTTTATCGATTATATACTCTCCACGATCGTATATCACGGATGATTTTTCTGGAAAAAGTTTTATTAATTACCTTGTTAATTATCGATGTAATTGAGTGATGAATCACGATAAAGGATTGTTGTATGCCTTTTGATATCAAAGTATGTATATGTGATAGAGTCACATTTAATGTGACTTGCAAAGTGATTCAAAAATGAGAAGGGAAAAATTGGAAAGTGAAGTTTTCTGAGTGCAATGCGAGCGGCGTCGTTCATCCAAACGAAGACTATGCAGCGAGAGACTATGCAAGCAGCGGGCTTTTTGGTCGGCGATTGAATGAATGCCACGCGAGTTAGTCAGCGTCGCGGTGCTAAATTCGGCGGACGCCTGGCGTCGATCCAGAAGAACCACCCAGCGCACCAACCTGCTTCTATCCTGTA